AGACAGGGGCTGCTGAGGGGGCCGAGCCTCGGCGTGTCGGAGGTTGAGAGAACGCTGCAGTCACCCTATTCCTTCAAATTGGAAAAAAGACTTTTTTAAAAAAAACCCAAAACAGTCTATGTAGCACAATGTTATAAACAGAACCACCATACAGAGCCGTTATCTTAAAACTCAGGCCCTCGGTACTGCAAGCTGGAGGAGGACTAGCCTAAGAGGAGTCTCTCCATGCAGAAAAACAACCCAGCCAGGAGCTTCTGCCTGCTGTACAGCTGTTGGGCAGGATACAGCTGCACAAACCAGGTGTGTTAAGCTCTGAAAACCTGCCTGGCAGAGACATATTTCTGTCAGTTTACTGGCAGGACCAGCAGCACTTGCAAGTACTTTTTCAGCTATTTTGTTTACTACTTACTTATTTTGGTTCATTTTTGTTCTTTTCCTCATTTTTGTGTGCATTGTTCCCCATGTTTTCCTTCTGGTAGCTATTCAACGGCCTTTACTGCTGATGAAAATCCTTCATTTGGGTACCTTAACCCCATCAGCTAAAATAATCTGTGTGGTTAGTGCAAATGAGTTCAAAGACCAGTTAAAAATTTGTTCTCCACAAAGGTCAGTGAGGAGAACCCTTCTCTCAGAGTTCAGAGGCACTCTGCACACAAGACAAACATTAGGTAAATTTGAATTTTATGGAAATTATCTCTGCTATCACAAAACCCTCTTGCTTTTTGTCTTTTAAAATAAACATGCATATTCTAAGATCTTACAGAACCTTTATTTACCAGACTGCAAAAACACATCACAAATTCAGTGGGGGCTAGGTCTGAACAATCCTGTTGAAAAACAGATTACCTTATCTTGGAAAATGCCAGGAAATCCACCTGGAGACAACCACATTGGCAACCTCAGCCCCCTGCAAGTAGAGCAGTGTGTCTGTCCCCCTGCTTCCTGATGGACCCTAGAAAATCACGTTAATTCAGCTTCACCCTTCCAGCAGAACTCTGGAAATCTGAGCAGTGAAAATAACCACTTTATCAACTGATATAATAAAAGGTGAATTGTCCAAAATCAACAAGAAGTTTGGAAACGAGATTTCCCCCCAAATGCTGAAAATCAATACAGCAAGATTTAGGCAGTTTATAATTTTAAAGAGGAATATGTTGGTTTTATTGGTGATCAATAAAATGTCATTTTTGTTAAAATGAGCCAACTACCTTCAGGATTATTAAATGTCATAAAATAGGCATTGACAGCCAGACATGAGCATGTCAATATTACAGGTTTTAGCATTTCTGAATATACTGTATTTATATATTGTATACTGCAATTCACTGATGCTTTTTGGTAAGCGTTCCACAAAAGTCAGTCAATTATATAATACATTCTGTTATAAACTGGTGCACTTGCTGCATTGCTTTAATTTGGTAAAAAAACCCCAAACAAATAAAACACCACAGCCTGGTTATTTAGAAGATACCCTCTAAGCAGAGGACAAAGGGAATGGCTTACCTTGCCTTACAATTACTTTCCTTCAACAAGTTAAGCTAACTTCTAGTCTGAGGGTATAATTTGTGTTTATTTTTTTCAGCTCTTTAGCCAAGCTTTAATTTTTTACTACTTAAAAATTAAGTACCACACTCTTGACAAAAAATCATCTTTATATGAGGTTTTAAGACATGCATGTCCTACAGCAACTAACAGATTTAAGTAGCAAGCTGTCACGACTTGAAAGCTATGAATTTTTTTAACCTTAGTGCAATTAATATTAATTACTGTAACTCCAAAGATACTTTACAGCCTTTTAATGCCTTATACTAGGTGAAAAGATGTCTCCCATTTTTCTGGCATGAGATGCTTTCCTATTTCAGACTGATTTGAACTGCAACCACAGATTTCCCCATAAGGCTTTTTATACCATCTACATTATCAGATAAAGCCATTGTTATAACCTATTATCAACATTTTAAGCTTCTTACAAATATTACATTCTACCATGGACAGGATTCCAGGATGTACATATACACACACTATGGATAATCAAGCAGTAAGATACTACAACCGAATATAAACTACAAGCAACTACAGATCTAGATCACCACGAGATTTTTGCACTTTGGGTGCAAAATGCTGGTACTTTTTTTATACAGATCCTTGTCAACTTCCCTTTCATGCATTCAACTAGTAACTGCTATTTTTCAGGCAATGAGGGCTGAAGTAATGTTCAAAAATCAACCAGGTATCACCAATGGAATTTACACTTCCGATAACAACTACTAAGTGGTTTTAATACATTTAAGTGAACCCTATGAAATTAAAATAGCAGTGATACATGGATCAGCACGTATCTAATACAAGTGACAGCAGCTAGTAGTATTTTAATTACATCCACTTGTCTTGGACAGTATCTAATACTCATATGCCATTTAAAAAATAGTACCACAAACTCTTCTACAATCTAGGAATTTATTACAACTGTGTAAATTTGAAACAAATTCAAGTATGTCTTAGAACTCTGAACAGTGCTTAAAAGCCAGTGCTTTTTCATCTCCTTGCTTACACGCTACCATCAGAAAACTAGTAGACAGAAAATAACCACCAGAAATTCAGATTCTGAGGAATTCCTAACTCACTATTACGGAGTAATAAAAGTATGCTTAATATAAAGGAATTTTTTTCATTCTCTGCACCTGTTAAGAAGTCAGTTCCCTCAGGCAAGCATTTAAAAACAACAGGAGAGTTATAACTAGTTTAAGAAGCTGAATTACTAACTCTTAAAGATCTGTAGTTTAGTTTGTGTATTTACCTTTTGGATACTTCTAGCTTTTTGGGTGTTTTTTTGTTTGTTCTGTTTTTGGTTTTTTTTTTAATCTTTTTTTATAAAAGCCAGGTTCCAACTCTAAGGTTTACTTTTTGTTAACCTTTTCTTTTTTTCTTTCCCTTACCTGCCAATAAGGACAAAACCTGTAGAATAAGCACTATAAGGCCGGCCCAAAATTAGTATGATAGTACACACCTGCAACTTCAGGTATTTGGCATAAGCTGTATAAGATAGGATTGACACAGGAACAGATTCAATAAAAAAAAGTACTGTAGATACACTGCATACAAATAAGCCATGTAAACCAATGCAGAACAATGAGGAAATTACATTATTAAAAGTTTTTATTTAGGTTTGGTCAGTACAGGTAAGATAATATTGGAGTCACAGAGCAATATGCATAAACAGGATACAACAGTTCTTAAAAACTGAGTAACTATGCACACAATTCATAAACATTCGGTCACCTAAGGAGAAAAATGCACAGATGTATGGTGGGAAAAACTGTAATTAACACTGAAACTACTACAGGACTCCTTCAGTAAGTCCATCTTTTAGTGATAAAACTACTGTACTGGGCAAACTTGGCAGTCATAAACCCACAACTATTATGACAAATCTTGAAGGTGGTGTAAGTATAACAGTATGAGTAAGAATGCCCTTACACAGCACAGGTTCTAGATATACACAGATTTGTACAGACATCATTTATGTTATACTTTATGGAAATAATTTCCATTTCAACTTCACATTAACTCATATAAAAATAACTTGAGCTACACAAACGTCCTTTTAGCAACATTCAACGTAATTAACTGTTAAAATTTCCAAAGTGGCAGAGGTATTGAAGCAAAAAGAAACCCACAAAAAGGCAAAATTGTGACAAGTATGCACTAATTTAAACGGCTTCTGGACAGTATCCTCTCCCAATTTAAATGACACTGTATAAAAATGTTGCAGAAAAATGTTACAAAACTGAACCCTGCACATTTACACTGGAGTCCAAACCATTCTGGACATGACGAGAACCCACAGTTCTGTTACCTTTCATGCTCACTGTTTTCTCCTCTTGAGGATCATGATTGGAGTCTGTGTCATTTGAGTGGTGAGTGAGAGAGTTTTCACTGCCAGTGGGAGAGTCTACACTTTCATACCCAGTACTGAGTTGGTTTATGTAGCTACTACTTCCTCTACCAGTTCTATCTTCAGAGTGGTTGGACAGCTTATTACCATTCCCTGGAGAAGCCGGGAAGTCATCTTCCGTGCCGCTGCCCTCCCTATAAAATCCGGGCCCAGACGTCCGCTGATGGGAGGAGCTACCATTGCTTGGTCCGTTTGCCAGACGGCTGCAGTCTTTACCCACAGCCTCTCCCTGGTCTGTAGGCTCAGAAGATGGAGTCCTGCTGGTACCCGGGTTGGAGGCCTGGGACTGCTGCTGCTGGTACTGCGCCAACTGCTGGCGAGTCTCCTTCAACTGCTGCTGAAGAACTAGAATGGTACTCTGCATACCCTCTACTTCCTCATCAAGCTGGATGATGAAGTCATTCAATTCTATATAAAGAAAACACATTTGTTGCAAACACTTAATAGCCCATATACAGCTTGAATCTCAGACAAAAAAAAAAAAATTTAATCCTGTTAATGTTTTATGCTGAAATTTTCAAGAGACTGCTTTTCAGCCCTCAGGTATGCACCAGTATTGATACTCTGCCTCTGAAGGAGGAAATGCTTAACTACCATCTACATACTTTTTATACTGCTACTCAGAATACATAGGAAGAAATTAATTTCTGGGCAAGAAAGGAGGATATTTGGAAAACTGATCAATTTCAACAATTAGTATTCTGCAAGTAGAACCTTGTGTATCTCAAGTATAAAACCTTAGCAGAAATACTTTTAAAGTGACCATGAACCACATCTGTATATAATAGACAGATCTGAATAATTACAAAAGCCTGTTCAGTGACAAAAATTATTTTAGTCATATTTCAAAGAAGTTTCAGCACTTACTGGTTTCAATCCTTTAAATCCTGCAAAACAGGACACTAAAAGGCTTTCTTACCAAGAAAACTGTTAACTAATTCCACAGGGTGTTTCAGTATTTCTATGTACCAAGAAAAAGAATTTTACAATACGGTCTGCATTTTGGAGCAAAACAAACTTGACCTGAAAACAGTGGAAGAAACACTGGCTACCCCCAGTCTTCAATTCAACTGCACCACTGACATGGCAGAGCAAATAAAGTGCATACTGCTTATTATTGTAAAAATTCATAAAATTAAAGTGTTCTTGCTGCTACATAAAAAAAAAAAAAAATAGGAAAACTGCTACTGCAGGATTATCGTTACCTTTGTTCATATGGGGAAGAAGCAATAGGGGCTAACAAACACATCTCAGTTCTGGAGCTTACTTTACTGTACTACATTCAAGAGCAGAAATCTTTGAAAAATATGTACATTTGCTTCACTTCTGAACTTGAAAAACTTAGATGAAGTTAAGCAGCAAAAGGGTAACTAGTCCAACATTGTATTACAGAAAGAATCACTTTAAGAATTCTAGTTATCATACATCATTTTATACTGCTATTTTCTCAAAAATATGATCCTATGGACAGGGGAAAGATATATCCTTAAAAATACAAGATATGTCAGACGTCGATAATGCCAAATCAAGTCTATGCTATCTTACAGACTTCAGCTGTGAAACAAAAACATACCCACATTTAAGTGATGTCTAACCAGCTCAAGTCCCAAGACTTACTGTAATAATCAGATAACCTAGTCTGTATGATTCTACCAAAAAAACCACTGATTCTATGCAGAACACTCAACTGAAGGTTTTTTTTTTAAACTTGCATTTTCCCCTCCATTTAAATTATACAAGAGGTCAGAGTTTATTATCAATTTCAATTTAGGTTTACAATGTTGTAAAATCTGGACTGTGAAAACAATAATGAGGTATTTTAGTTCATCTGAGTTACCTAAATGTAAAAAAACCCACCACCTCATTTTTCTCATTCTTAGGCATTGTTAAAATGTTGATTTTTTTTAAAAAAAATTAATTTCAGAATGAGTCAAGTTAACAAGCAGCATTGTGTTCTCAGTGCATGCTTAGCTTCATGCAACATTAACAGCTTTCATCTTACCACTTCCACCAATAATGTGTGCAGTCTAAATATTCCCTATTAAATACAGCAAGACCTACAGTACAAAATCCAGCAATTTCAAATTCAAATGCTGGTTTACTGGAGCTGCAAATCCCACTAGTCCCCCAAAGTTAAGGTTTTGTTTGTTTTTAATCAAGACTACCAGTGAAGACACAACTGTCGTATTTTACTTGATATTGTCCTTTCATTCTGGCAAAAGTGGTTTTAGAGCACGTGTATCATCAGGAAATTAAAACTAGCAGAAGTGCAAGGCAACTTCCATTTTCTTAAAAAAAAATCCCTTACCATCCTGACTGCTTTTAAGTTCCTCACTATATTTCTTCTGTAAAGCCAACTCTGCCTCAAGCTGTGCAATACGTCCTTGGGACAGCTGCCTTCCAAGCTCTTGATTCTCCTGGAGAAGCATTCGACACTTCGCCATTAACTTTTTGCCTGTTTGGCTGCAAAGGAAAGAGCCATCTATCACAAAACGAATATAAAACCTTCAGTAATCTTCCTCAATCACAATTACAGACAGAAAGGAGATGCAATTTCTGCATGTCACAATTCAAGAAACATTATGCCTCAACATAATTTTCATAGCAGAAAATCTCCCTACAGTTACCACGTGCTGTTCCAATGCCAGTTGATCTTCTGCCGCTGTCCCATAAAGTGGAAGGCAAATTTTATTACTGCAAATATGAATAAGCATATTGTTCTTTTTTTTTTTTGATACCAACATCTGGATTATCAGTATGCACAGTCTTGCATGTGCTAATTCTCAAAAGAGATAAGTATTTGATTAAAGATGTGCCTTATAAGTCAAAAGATCAAGTACTGCATGAAAATTACATGTATAAACAGAATTATAAACAAAAAACATTTATTGCACTAGTAAAATTTAATAATTAAATTTTGGTGAAGGGAAGAAAGTTGCTTGGGATGAAGTATTAAATCCCATGTTCATTCTTCCTAATGACACCCATTCTTCTTTAAGAGGTTCAGACATTCTTTTGAATGCTGTCCAGGTACTCTTGTTTAAAAACTTACATGTCTATTTTTCAACTCAATTTATATATTTGACAGTAATGTACACAGTCTGTTTCATGATTTCTATGGTCAGCTTTTCCTAAGTGCATCTTGCATAGTCAGGAAAAAGTAAAATGTCATTAAAAATTGGAAGGAAATTAAAGAGCATGTTATTAATCTACTTCCTTTAGAATGAGAGATTTCCAATCATGAGTAATGATCATTAAGATCTCCAGTTTCTGAAAAAATTTGGAAACAGGCAGGAAAAAAATTTCGCACTGACAAGATTTTCTTTACTAAATGGAAAACATCACACATCTTTAATCTTCGCGATAAAAATTGCATTGTAAAGCATTATAGGAAGTACTATGCAAATTAATATATAGGCAATACAGCTGACTCCATAAGAGAAAAATTCAAGTCCTTTAAGTGTCTTGGTCTGCCAAAGTCAGGATAGCAACCACAAACAGTTGTCTCCTTTTAATAGGCTCAGCAACATAATAAAGCTGTCTACAGCAGTGTAAGCTCTACCAAAAAAAAAAACCACCCAAACTTGAAAAGGTTTATTGTGAATTCCATGGCAGGACTTGCACTACTTTTCAAGACCAAGCAGGTCATTTAATTTTTTGTTTGCTTTTAAACAACTGACAAAGATTGAAAGAAATTTTGAGGATTAAAAAAGTAGAACAGGAAATTTCTGCTACAATTCACAGCCACGGTTCTCTCCTGCAACCAAAATACCCAACCAAAAGAATTTAAAATAGTAATTTCCTTATCAACTACCTTTTAAGCATTCAAGCCTTAGACAACTTTTAAGTTCTGGCAACTCTGCCCCATTTAACATTTTCCGACTGACTCTCCCAAATCTTTCAGATGGGCTGCTCCAGAAGGAATCTGGCTGTGTAAAGTCCTGGAAGCCTGCAACTCTGCTAAAGGCAGCAACCTGTTTTCTTTCTTGATGTGATGTCCAATGGCAGGTCCTTGAAGTTTAAATTGTGCTGACCTAATACAGTCCAAGTCGCACACTTAAGATGCAAGTTTCCTTAGAGATGTTCATTCTGTGTAAAGCAGGACCGCTTTGGAGATAACCAATGTAACATATCCCAAAAGTTATTAGGCAGACATGCAGTGATTTTTAGCCATTTGCAAATTCCTTTTACTGTATTCATCATCACTAAAAGTTGAAGAAGTTCACGGTGCTTAAGTCATTTAATGCTTTTCTCTTCACAAAACAACATCAACTGTAGAATTAGAAAGTACCAGTCACCTTGGAATTGGGACAATTTTAGAATCCCATTAATTTCTTCATGTTAACTCCTGCCAAAAATGTAAAATATTTATTACCTGTATAGAAATTTGCATATTTACCTATAATGCTATTTCTTCCCATCAGAATTTTTCCAGATGTTCTGAACTAGTATGGCACCAAGTAACCTTCCCTTGCAATTTACAAAAACAACACTCACATGCAAGAACATAAAATCCAGTAACTAATTTTAAAATAACTCCTATTAGCTGTAAAACTTAAGTTTGGCATTGTTTTCACAAATCCTCTTGAACATACACGCAACAAAACCTGGAAGAATATAAGTGGTTAAATTTCACAAGACTAATGTTTTACTAGGTTTACTGCAAATGACATTTCTATGAATTTTTAATCCAAGTGCATACTCTATGTTTAATGATGGTCAAAATGGCTTAGCCCAGCCATTCCTTTGAATACACCCTTCCCTCCAGACATCAGCAATGACTGTGCTCTACACCTGTATCCATGGTTAAGGCCAAGCACTAACAGTGCTCAGGGTTGCAGCTAACATGTTACCCTAAGAACACCAGTCAGGGATCTGAATAGGAGCATCATCTCTTTCACAAATGAGGTCAGATGCCATGAAATAAGAGTAGTTGCATAAATGTATGGACCATTAAAGCAATTAAAAGGGTGTCGAAGGAGGGGCAGGATGCAAAGAGAATGAAAAATCCTATAAATACTTTACATGAGTCATCATTTCTTTACCCTTCCAGAAATAAAAATCAGGAAAACCTTAATTCAATTAATGAAAACAGCCTCAATTATTTACCAGGAAATAACTCTAATTTTCTGTATTCCAGCTACTGCATATATGAATTACGCAGATTCACACCACTGACTTAAAATTATATTATGAATATTAGGGTATGTTGTAGCTACAGAAATAAAAATTTTCTTTTGATACTTTTGCTTTAAAGTGGTAAGTTACTTGTCTCTCCTCAGTTGTACACACACATTTAGAGCCTGAGGACTTCAGAAAACAACCAAGCTGTATCTAAACGTATTAAATAATTTTCTGAACTCCAAGTTAAACAATCAAATCTGAACGGCATGCCTCTATCCACACATTATAGCAAGCTTTACAAATGGCTTGTAAAACATTAACAATTTATTAATGCAAGTCTTACCTCTGTTTTGATGCTAGATCATTAAAATCTTAGATACTGCTATAGCAAAATCATTCCAGATGTATCACTTAAAAAGGTAAAGTTTTTCTGTAGTTTTTTCTTTTGCTGTTAAGTCATTACTCATGCAAAAAAATAAACCTGCGTAAGTACGCTACTCTTCAATCCCACATTCATCATCTGAAGCACAAACAGTTAAGATACTTCTGAGTTAAAAATACGTAATGCCATCTTAATAAAAGTCATCAAAACAATCAGAATACATCACCTTCTGTGATAGCTGGATGTCTTTTTTTAATTTAAAACTGAATTTTCTAGGATCAGACTGAGTCATAAAACGTTGCCCAACTGTTTTGAAAATCAAAACCTCAGATTACTAAATATAACTCAGTTCACTAAGGAAAAAAACAAACACACAAATGCTAGACCAAATCTGCATTTCACTTTACACACCTCAGACATGCACTCCCAACTGTCCCGGATTGCTACTCTTACAAGTAACTTGGGACAACAGAACAGAGGCATCAATAGAGTAGCAAAGGTTCCTTCACTGATTCCACCATGGAAAACGCATGCATTTAAGGTTTTTTGGTTTGTTAAAATACTGACTTTGTTTTCAGAGAACGAGTCAATGCAGAAATAACAACCTGTTCAATTCTCGTTCATCCCAGGAGTTTCACAATACAGCAATATAACCAGTAGTGTTCCTTGAACTATATATTACAACTATTTCAAGGCACATTTTATATAGAAGTGCAATACAAGAAAACCAGGTGTACAAAGGAATAAAAACACCCCACCAACACTGAAGACAGTTGCCATTGTGTGCCTTCTGTATTAAGCATGAGATCAGTTCTTAGTATAGAAGATTGAAAGTCTCATTTCTGCATGAAAACATGCAGTGAAATAATTATCACAACTAGTTTTTCTTATACATGCTAGTTGTGATCAAATATATATTGCTTCCAACAATTTAAAATCTGCGATTATATAGAACGTACATTTTTGTACAGTCCTAATTTTGAGGCGTCCACGGTATCACCAACCATCCAGAAAACAGTTCATTATTTAGCAACAGTGATTTAAGGCTCCGTCAAGTGCTAGAGAGCCCAAAGGCTAAACAGTCAAATGTGTACACTACCACTGTTGTGATATCAAATAGCACCTCTCGTGGCTATTCAAAACTGGTTAGCAAGTAAACTCTTTAACGCAAAATTCACCTCATTGAGTTTTGACCCAGCAGTTCAGTGAACAAGCAGGAAGTCCACAGTCTTATTGGCAAAACTGACTTACAGTGTCTCTAAGTCACTAGGCTCAAGGTTAAGAGTGAAGCATATTCCACTTCTACATTTTACGGGAATTTTACATGTTCAATTCATGATTTATAATCTCTAGGTTCTCTCTCCTCCAAACTGTCTGTAGACACAGTGTGCCACAGACTTAAGACTTCTGTTTCTCCCTCTATTTTCTTCAAATAGAACAATTTTGCAAATGTCTACATGTTCTAGAAAAGATTTTTTTTCGAAGATGGCCATTTCTTCAGAATAGTCCGACGCCGTCAGGCCTCTGAAGCAAAGGGGGAGAAAAAAAGCTGAAACACAAGGTTCATCTGGTAAGTTTTACATTAAGCATTACAAGCTGGACAGTATAAGAATGTGGCTTTTGCCTCAAAACGTCTGAGTCTTGGTGTGGAAACGAGTACTTGGCTGTCCCACCATAGCATTCTCGTAGTGGGACTGTCAGGGAAGTCTTGACTGGGGAGTATTTGTTTTGTTTACCTATCAGGCGTAAATTTCCAGGCACTCAGTTCATTTTGGGCTTGTTCCAGTTTGTCTTTAGTCTGTTCCAGTTCACCTTTCATTTTTAGGAAAAACAAGTTGATGGCTGGGTCCACCATTGTTGATCGCAGTTGGGCAACACTAGGCTGCTGGACTTGCTTGAGGTACTGAATCTGATTCTGCACAAAATAAGACAGACAACTGTTATTCATACAACATTAAATAAAACTTCAAAGTCATCTAAATACAAATAAAAAACAGCTATTCCAAAGATAACAAAGAAACCTGCCTTCTTTCATCACTATAACCTGGAAAGGACAGGATAAAAATCACTTTTGCCCACATGCACCTTATCAATGTGCATATTTACTCAAACCCCATCTCACCACCTGCAATGCTTAATTTTTTTCTCCTCTCTGCTTCAAATTGCCAAAGCAGTGACTAAAGGATTAGAATACTCCCTTTCTTCTCTATCTGCCTGCACTTTTTTTTTTTTTTTTTACTG